TATGTCAGCCCCCCGTTGCTGGCAGCCTGCTGCCAGTTGGCTCTGCTGCTTTTGGGCATTTATTGCGCGCGGCATTTGCCGGCTAGTCAGGCACGCACACACATACATATGGTCTCTCAGTGTGTTTATATATGTATGTACATATGTATGTGTGCTTAAATGTGTGCGAGGCGGGTGTACGGTGCCGGTGGCCTGGTCTGCTGCTGCCGCTGCTGCATGCGCAAAACGCCGACGCCGACGTCGACAGCAGCAGCAGCAGCAACAGCAACAACGACAATCAACGCGCGGAAGCGAGCGAAAAGCATAAACCATGGAGAGATGGGAGGATTGTTAAAATTACGCGACAGGAGGCAGGCAGGCAGGCAGTCAGCCAGCCAAAGCCAGCTCACAACGCTGAAATGAATCGCCGGCTGGCGTTGACGTTGGCGAATGGCGAATGGTTTCGGGCCTGTCGCTGGCACGCAGACATCGAGGCGCGCGCGCGCGCGGGTGTGGACATTTTTGTTAGCTGGTAGGCTGGCTGGCTGGCTGGCTGGCTGGTTGGCATTGGATGTTGCAACCGTCAGGCGTTAATTGCCATGCCCCAAATGAGGAAGTGGAAATTGTCGAAATGGAAGCAGCTGGACGAAGAAATGAGCCGTTACGTTAGACGACTCTAGCTCCATGCAGGTCTAAGCTTGACCAGATAAATAGTTTACATATGTATCTACATATGTATATGTGCATATGTATGTATGTAAATTCTACATACACATGCCTAGTTGTGTGAAGCAGCTTTTCAGAGATTGGCAGACAGGCTCTCTGACGCCATCTACACGAATCTCAGACCTTGGGTAACATCCTGAAACGCTGAAAATTGCTGCCGCCGACACATAAACAACAACAACAACAACAAGCAGCAGCAAAAGCAACTAGAACCACAACATAAACGAAATTTAATTTTCCATTGAATTTTGTTCACATTGTTTTTGTCGTCGTCGCCGCTGCTGTGGAAAAACGTGAGTAAAACAGAATGCGCGAGCAGAAAAAGCAACAAACCATATGCCAAACGAAAAGGCACAGCATGTAGATAAGAGGCGTGGGGTAATGGAGAGCTGGCATAACGCAAAGAGCAACAGCTGCTAACAATGTTGACGCGTCGCTGATGGCGGGCCAAAACGAACGACAGAATAGCCGGCCAGCCAGACTGAAGACGCTAAGCTCAGGGTACCCCCACCCCACCGGACGGACAGCGGGATAAGCGAAAAACGTAAAACATAAAACAAAACAAATGCACAAAAGCGTCGGCCATAAAACGGCGAAGTCAAGAAGATTACGATTATAACGATTATGATGATGATGGTATTGATGATGATGATATGAATGATATTGATGATGACGATGATAAGGATGAAAGTCTAACACATATTAAGCAATACAATTACATTCTTCGTGAAGCGTCTGACGATGGGTGCCTGCTGGGCTGGCTGCGACCAATATGGCGTCCCCTGTGCCAAAACAACCCACTGTCCACATGCGACCCACTCTCGAAATTAACGGCAAACAAATGAAGCACAAAGCGCGCACACGCATGTGCCGCATGCAGCTCACTGCCGGCGTCGGCGTCAACGACAGCGTCGCAGTCAGCGTCGTCGGCACCGTAACCCTCAACCTCGTCCCGGCAGGACCAAAGCTTGCACAATAAATGAGCAAAAGCTGCACCAAATGCAACGGAAACGACCCCCAAAACCGAACGCGAGCCCGCTGCCCCATGCGAAAAATGCAAATGACAGGCAGCAGACAGTAATTCGTGGTGGACATCGGCGCGAATGCGGGCGGCGGCGGCGGCGGGCAGCGGGCAGCAGCCGCACAACGTAACCAACTTAACTACCCGACGTCATGTGAGTCTGGGCCGTAGAGGCCTCAAAGGTGGTTGGCAACATGTGCCCAATTTTCCCTCAGCTCACAAAATAGCAACAAAAAAACCAGAAAGAATGGAAATCTTTTGCACACCGAAGTTGAATTACCCTTGTAGGCACATGGATAATGGTTTTTCATATATGTAAGAAGAATTTTAAAGCTAGTTACTAGACACCTTGGAACAGTTTTCCATACTGAATTGAGTTATTAGACCGATTCTTCCTATATCGCTATTTTTCCGTATAAAAAAAACAGCACTTTATGGGCTTGAAGGTCATTCCTTCTGTCTGTTTTATACATTTCCACACAGTTCTTCTTATATAACCTTTTTACTCATTTCAAAAGGGTATTAAAATGCACATGTATGCATGTGTTAATTTGTATTAACGTAGATACTGCGTCGAATGCTTTTAAAGCTTATTCCAACACCTAGAATTGTTTTGCTTTTATAGCCGATTCATTTTTAATTGAAAAATGTATAAACAATGTATGTATTTTATAAATATAAAAGAGTTTGTCCTGATTGACAGACTGACTGTAAAGTATGGAGTAATACGGGGTTTTGAAAATTCGAAATGCAAGTGGGGGAAAACTATGGGTAACAACATAGTTTACAAACACCACCAAAGCTGTGAGCCTTTGATGTCTGGAGATTGGGCCTCAACAGGGACAATGTTGCCGTTGAAGGTGTTAGGATTCCCCATATGAAGAACCGCGTTAGGATCACAATTGACATGACAGCGGGAGGAATTGTGTAGAGGTGCACACGATTGAATAGATAAGTGGTTAAAATTTTACCCGGCTCACCTTACCAACATGAACGCGGACAAGGTCGTATACGAAAATGCTAATCATTAATATACATAAGTCTTCCCACCAGCACGTATTTCAATATAAATAAATCTTTTCTTAATATTTATAAATTTACATATGAATAAATATTGTAGATATTTATCTATTTATTTGTTTAATTGGCGAATCGATGCTTAATATTGCCAATAACGCTTGGGTGAACTGCACTCAACCCTTCTTCCCTTCCACTAGCACACGGGTTGTAGTGAAAATGGGGAAACGTTTATACAGGGTGCAATTTTAAGTCGCTTTCTTGTTTACCTACTCTGTTCACGTCGTGATCCAGCCGCCTGCACGATAATTAAATCAAAGATACTTTTTCCGCCCATTTCTAGATATGTTTACGTAAACAGATTATTGCAAAGTCAGTTGCATCCAACTGAAAAGTGGTTCTCTTTTAAGCGTTAGAGCGCGAGCTTGCTAGTCAGAATTTAACGGTATTACGAACAGCACCTAAAATAAAACGAAGAATTGCCGATTAAGTTCACTGCCCTGCTCGGCTCCCCTCCCCTCCCCTCCGCACAACCCCAAATAACCTACTCAACAAATAACCTCACTCAATACGCACAGCGAAAACAAGCGAATGCAAGAAAATGGGAACAGGGGACAGAGAGGAACTGCAACTTGAAAGAAAAACTTTCGCTTTCAATGTCAAGCGCAAAAAATAGAGGCAACGGTAAAAGGAATGCATCGACAATCTCTGTGCCGTTTCAGAGAGGCCGAGGGTGTTTAATATATATATATACTGTATATACATATATACTGTGTGGGTATTTACACACATACACACATTTGTACTTATATACTAGCAAGAATTATCCGGCTTTGCCAGGCAAAGTTGATACACCATTGTTAAGGTTAATATTAATTTTTTCATGTAACGCCTAGAAGGAGTCATCTCCCACCCCAGTGAGTATACATATATATTCTTGAACAGTATTTATAGATGACCTGTTATAAACCACATTCGTCTGCCTGTTTCTATACTAACTAGTCTCACAGTTTTTAAGCCATCGTCTTGAAACCTTGCTTAGATCCGTCTTTTTGATGCAGGCAGCACACACGTCGGAACCGGACAAATTGGAACACTATATCATATATAGCTGCCTTAGGAGTGATCGGTCGAAAAGTAGTTTCTTGTATGAGAAATGTATGTTGTTTGTGAGTTAAACTATATACTTTTCGGTATATCGAGATAACTTCGTATATCTAGTTTCAGTATGCTGCTTATACACGAGCCTAATCTTATCAACATTTCAACATTGCAACAACGTTTCTCACATATTTGCTAAGCCATAGGCAAATGTCCACAAGGGTATTAAATCTTAAAACAGCTGATCGAACGAAAGACACAAGCCTGAAACCACGTTCACCACCATATACCCTATAGATCTTACTATATAAGAGCAACATAAAAACAATAATATTAATTCTACGCATGAACTTAAGACAATACGACCCTTGGCATCAGCTATGGAAATGCAATTTTTAAACTCTGATCATACTTTGTATAGTCGAATATAAATGCTTGTGTTTGTTACATACAGTTAAAATTCTTCTTTATACCCTTTACGCGTAGTAATAATGGGTATAGCAGTTTTTTGTAAAACGCAGATAGCAATTTTTTGGTATAAAGCTTAAACATAAATATACAAAACATACACTGTAAACAAATAATAATAAATACTGTAAATTGGCGCATTTAAACAAAGTACTTTAAAACACAACATTTTTTATTTTATTGTTCGACCGATCTTTACATATGAATGTAGATATATTTACGGGATCGGATATATTCCCCTCAATGCGTTACATAATCTAACATAAAATTATTAGCCCCTGTAAGGGCATTTAATGAATTTTAAATGCCAATAGGCAAGCCGAAACACGTGCTGCGACGTCGCAGAAAACAGCTGTACATGTGTAGACTCGTACATACACACATGCATGCTCTATGGAAATGTCATGTAACGTGTTATAGCAACAACAAAAACAACAAAGCGAATGGCCTTAAGACAACCAAATTGCGAATGTAAAACAAACTCTTCTTCTTTCTATCGGAAGAGATTTCGCACACGTGTACATACATAAAGACAAACATTTATACGTACATTCATGTGTATATGAAAAAGAGATTGAAAATTTGCCAAATTTTAATGCTGATGCTTTAAAATACTTTTGCGACGTTTCTTTTTGCATGCATAACTGTATATTTGTTTGAACGTACATAAATACATATATAAACTCACCATGTTCGTACGGCGAAAATGTGCCCGCGTCGATATTAATATATGGATCAATTTTTATGGAAGTAACATCCAAGCCGCAGGACTTAAGCAGTGTACCGAAGGAAGAGGCGATGACGCCCTTGCCAACACCGCTTATCACACCGCCAGTAACCAAAATGTACTTCATATTAATAACAGTTCACGTTAAACTTAAATATGGTATTTGCCAGCTTTTAGAACAGGCTGAACACGCGGCACTTGTAATTCACTTCCAAGATCTGCCGTTATTGTTGACTATTTCTTTGCCGCGTAGATAAACACATGCACTCACGACAAATGGCAACAGTTTAGAGTCAGTTAATTTTCTTCATTTATTATTAATGGCATTTAATTTAGAAACCCACGTGAAAGCGTTTGCTTTTAACATATTCACTGGAGGCGCCAATTCAGGAAATGTGCACAGAAGAGAGCGCAGTAAATTACCATTCACACAAAGTTTCTAGGGATGTGAGTATTGATAGTTTAATTCGATGCATAGATTTGTTTTCGATATTTTTGTTGATGTCGCATCGATATAGTTCAAATGTGTATGTCATTTCTTTTGTTTTAATACATGGTCACCTTGGCTTGTGATTTGCTGAATTCTGTCAGTAAATTTGATTTTTCTTGGTTTTTTTTAGTTGTGTGTTGGTTTTTTTTGTGAATTTGTTTACAGCTCTTTCACATTCATTAGACGTGTATTGTTGTACAACTACTAGTATTGGCTATGGCAGCACTTAGTAGACAATGTTGGTAAACGGTTGCACATCTGTTAAATTCAAATTTGAATTTTTGGTATTTTATGGTTTTCCACATGGTAGATTTTTCGTTTTCAATACTAAACTCATTACTTTTTAATGTAATCGAATTGGCGAAAGCATTTATTGTTATTCAAATGAAAGCGTCTACAAAAAGAGCATTTTAAATGCATTTATAAATACACAGGTATCCGTATGTACGCAACCTGAGCTTAGATCCTGCATGCATACATACATATATGATGCATATGCCGCGTATAAAAAAATGTGGATCAGAAAATTGAATTCATTTTGTTGCCTCCTGCTGCTCAAAAGCCGGATATTGCTTCAGAACCTGTGCCCAGGTGAGACGCGTCGTCGCCAAGTCCTTGACCACGCCAACAACAACGTCGAGTCCGATGCGAACCTGTTTCATGGTATTCCGATCCCGCAGCGTCACGGTGTGCGGCTCTTTAAGAGTGTCAAAGTCCACGGTGATGCCATAGGGTATGGCGATCTCGTCGGTGCGCGCATAGCGACGTCCAATCGAGCCACTCGAGTCGTCCACCTTGTGCGAGAGCTCCGCCTTGGTCAACGCCGCGGACAGCTGCTGAGTGTACGGCTGGAACTCGGCGTTGTTCGAGAGCGGCAGAATGGAGCACTTGAGCGGAGCTACGAGCGGGGGCAGCGTGAAGTAACAGCGCTGCTCGTCGCCGTCTCTGCATTGGAAGCTGTGCTCGAGCAGGGAGTACATGATGCGGCCGATGCCGAAAGACGGCTCCACCACGCTCGGTATGAACTCCTCTACGTGCACAGTTTTGGTGGCATGCTTCACGCCAATGGTCTCTGCGCCGAGCTCGTGAGTGGCGCCGTCGGGTAGCGTCAGTTTATACTGGCCACCTGTTGCTAGCTGTGCCTCCACCTGTTTGATGTCGTCCAGCGACAGCTTGGCCAGTGCATCCGTTATGGCCTTGGCTTCCTTTTTGAACGTTTTTCCAAGAGCCTGCTTGTTGGGCACAATCTCGCTGACCTCGACTGTCTTGGGAGCTGGCAAACGCTTCTCGGCCACCAGACGCACACCCGTGGCGGCCGTGTGCTGGCTCAGATCGTACGCGGAGCGGTCAGCGCAGCCGACGCACTCGACCCAGCCGTACGAGGTGAGAATCTCCGCGTCCCAACAGTCGCAGGCATAGTGGGCCATCTCGTTGCCCATGTGCTGGCGGAAGCGCAGGCACTCGGGCTTGATGCCAATGGCATGCAGGAACTGCTGAATCCGGGCCATGTAGTAGCCCAGGGTCTCGTTGGCCACCAGCTGGCTGGCCACTGCCTCCCCAATGGTCGACTGCTGCGCTGATTTGCCGTCCATCTGGTTGCAGGCCGAATATAGCGTTAGCTTCTCGCCGGCCACCTTGCTAAACTTCGGATGATCCTTCAGCGAGGGATCGCAAAAGTGCTCGATTTCCGCCATGGTGAACTCGCGCACGCGGATCAGGCCGGAGCGCGGGGAGATTTCGTTGCGGAACGAGTTGCCGATTTGGGCCACAGCGAAGGGTAGCTTGCCCTGGTTGAACTCCAGCAGGCGCTTGAAGTTCACAAATATACCCTGCGCCGTCTCCGGGCGCAGGAATCCCTTAACCAGTCCAGTGGGTCCGATTTGTGTGGCAAACATCAGATTGAATTCTATGGGTTCAGTTAGATCGTTGCCCGTCAGTGGCGACTTGATGTCATACTTGGCCAGAACGTCGGCGAGCTCCTGTTTGTTTAGTCCGTCCAGCTTGATGATGATATCCTCGCACTCGGCCTGCAGGCTTGCGGTCGCATCTTTGGCCTTGGATAGCTTTTCGAGTGCTTGCTTGATGAGATGGTCCAGCCGGAAACACTCGCCAGTCTTGACGTCCTTCACCATCAGATCGGCAAAGCGCTCCACGTGCCCAGATGCCTTGAGCACTGGCTCCGGCGTCAGCATGGAGCAGTCTACTTCCAGCATCTGCTCCTCCAGACTGAAGAACTGCCGCCACAGGGCGAGTATGTTGGATTTGAGTGCACAGCCCATGGGCCCAAAGTCGTACTGGCCGGTGATGCCGCCATAGATGGCAAAGGATTGATCGTAGAAGAAGCGACGCTTCAGCAGATCTTCCATTTTTGCGCGATCAAAGCTGACAACGCTTGGCGTCAGCGCCAGCTCCTTATCCTCTAGCACTTTTTTACGCACCTTCAGCTCGGCCACCGCCTTCTTCACGTCCAGTTCGGGTGCATCCTTTGCCTTCAGTTCCCGCACCAGGTTGCCCTGCTCCTGCACCCGCTCACGCAGAGGAGCCAGTTGCGCTTCAATCTCTGGGTTCGACATGATGAACTCTGCTGCTGCTGCCCGCAATTCAACTTTGCGTTTCTGCTTTTTGCTACCCCAAGAGCTTGCCGAGGAGGCGCCAGCGGCAAAAGAGCTTGTGCTAAAAGATACTTTCGCTTCTGCTTTGTTGGCAAAGGTCTCACGCCAACTCCACGTTTTTCTGTGCGTTCTGTTTAGTTGAATCTGAAGTATAAGTCCGCTAGCGGTGCGCAGGTGTGTGTGCGCTTTTAAGAACTGCAATGACATATGTTATATTTTATGCGCGCAACACAAGAATTTATGTAATTTTAATTGACGATTTTCGAACTCTGCAATACCTTTAGCTGCCTCTTGGGTGATTCACAATAGAAATGAGTTTCGTGTGCAACACTGCAATTTCATCAACAAAAAGCTGGTTAAGACCGGTCGATTGTAACGTGTGTGGGACTTTAAACGTCATCTTATACGTCCTTTGAATTAAATTAAATAGCAACGCTTGTTTGCAGTAATATACTAAGATTTGAATAACATCTTCATATTTTTCCACTTATCCGCAGTTTTTCAAACAGATTGTCTCACACTTGTGTTGTGCCGTGTACGGGCCACGCGATATATATTGTGTGCAGATGTCGGCATATCGATATATCGATCAGCTACAAAACTCATTTTTGTTCTTTGCTACCTATCAGAAGCATTTTTCTTGCATGTTTTTATAATATAATTTGCTGAATTCGTTTTTATTTAAACTAAACAAGCGACGTTTAAATTTCTTTCGCGATTCGACTGACGTTAATATTTGAAATTAAAGCGTCTAACGACTGCACCCGTTTGTTGTGTTCAAGGAAAAGTGACGACGCCGTCTCGCAGCGACGCTATGCGACCGCATTTCTGCGTAGCATAAAAACAAAAGACCAGGTGCGCTACTTGCAACTCACCTGGGTAACTGTTGTTTACGCCAGTTTGGCTTTGTGGCTTCAATTCAATGTATTTCTTCTTGTTGCAGCATCGCCACACCAGGCGCCTTATTTGTTTGGTAAACATTGCACTGAAGGCAGCAGCAAATTAGGGCAGGGCAGGGCAGGGCACGTCAAGGCGGTCTGTTGGTGAGTTCTCAATACATATACACATTTGCTTTGCCTGTTGTTTTTGTTTTTATGGTTATTTGTTAAGCATTTTATGTACAAATAATAGTATTTGCGGGCTTTAAGCGTAGTTCTTGTCATTCTCGGTTCATGTGCGCCCTCTAGCCTTGTACAGTTACCCTTTCTATACGCATACTCACCCCCATTCGGACATAATTCAACGAGTTTTGTCACACTCTATATAAACTATTAAGTACATCCACATGTGCATCAAATGCACGCAAACTGCAATGGACACTGGTGTGCTGATCTACAACTGGGCATGGGACATTCATAGACACATTTGTACATACTTAAACATATCTCTGCAGTGGTTGTGGTGGTGCGGTGTTTTTGTAGAGGCAAGTGAAGCAGCAGCAGGCAGGAGCTGTACATAAAGTCTAATAAGCTAGTGCACGTCTCTAACAAAAATCAAATAAAAACCCAGACAAACCCAATGCTAACTCTCAACTAAAACCAAATGGGCTAAAAGCTGGCGACAATCATTGAAGACTGCTTATGTCTTTCTAGGATCTCGCACGCACCGCGCACCGCAACCACCGCCAGTCAAAACAGTGTAAACTGTGAATGAAAGCAGATCGCAACTCCGGCAACAACTGACGCAAGGAGCAGAAGTCCTGGCGATGCAATTGAAAGCGCCAAAGAGCAGGAATATGGCCAGTCTGAAAGATGATGAACCAGCAGCTAACCATCGACAAAGCAACAGCAGCAGCAACAACAACAACAACAACAATAATAATAACAACAATAGTACGAGTAGTAATCCAACCACCAGCAACAATAACAACACAAACAATAATAATAACAATAACAATAATGAGGATGTCGCCAGCAAACGCGAGTCCTTGGAGGCGCGCAAACAGTCGCTGGAGCAGCGCTTGAGCGAAAAGAGCTGGTTGCTGCAGCAGATACAGAAACAGGAGGCTGCCATCATGCACGGCAATTACGAGCACCTGACAATCAATGAGTTCTTTACCCAGTTGGCGCAGCAGTACAAGCACGAGCAGCAGCTGCAGGCATTGGCCAAGGACAGCGGGTTGCTGCGACGCAAGCAGAGCACCAGCAGCCGAAGCGAGAGCCAGCCGGGTGGCAGTCAGACCTACAGCAGCAGCAACAATAATAACAACAACCGACACTCAGAGACGCATTCGAATCGCAGCTCAGAGTATGATAATTATCAGCCAGCTGGCTCCAATGGCGACATGCTGGTCATAGGCGTCGCACAGCAGCAATCACAGCAGCATCCGCACGTTAAAAGCGCGTTGAAGAAACGTCCCACACCCACGCCCACTGCCCAGATACAAATGCAATACGTGGCACAGAGGCAGCAATTGCCACAGCAGCCACATGTCATGTTGCAGCAGCACCATCATATGGAAATGTATTCCCAGCAACATGCCAGCTATTTGCAGCAGCCGCCAAAGCAACGCTCCCAGGGTCAGACGGATGTTATATCCATGTACTCGGCCAACTCCTCGAATGTGGCCACGCTGCGGCAGCAGCACGTGGCGCCCCAGCAACAGCCCATCATCGTGCAGTGTGACAAGTACTATCTGTCGCCGACGCATCAGAGCTACAACGAGGGCGGCTTCATCAAGTCCAGTCAGAACATCAAGAAGTATGTGTCGCCGCTCGCCTCGCCGAGTGCCATCAGCTACGAGCAAGCCTCGTTGCATCATCAGCGACAACTGGACGCCATCTCATTGGCGCCCAGTTATATGTCCGTGGATGTGGAGAGCGTGCATCAGCAGCAGCAACAACAGCAGCAGTATCGCTGGCGCTCACAATCCCATATTGCAGCACTGACGCCGCCGCATCCACATCAGAATCAGAGCATGACCGCTGCCCTGGCAGCCGAGCCGAAGTCGCATTCCAGCGACATGCTAGCGGCGCCTATGCCGCGCTATGCCAGCAAACCCAAGCCCCTCGACGAGATATCATTGTGCTCCACGTCCGCCAGCAGCACGACCATAGAGAAGAAGCTCAAGCCCAAGCAGTGGCTGGAATCATCGCTCGATGGGCCCGCTGTTGTGCGGCAAATTGAGTCCACAGCTCACAGTCCGGTCAGCAGCAGTGGCAGTGGCGCCGCTGCCAACAGCAAGCCTCGGACCAAGCTCTCCTCGCAGTCGATGTCGGTGTCGGGTCGTCACTACTCGATGTCCGCTCAGCGCAGTGCACATAATTATGCACCCGCTGGCTATCCGGTTGTCGGCAGCTCGAAGGCTCTGCAGCATGCGGATGAAAGATTTGCCAAGCTCAGTCAGTCCACTTCCTATCTGAATGCCATGGAGCAGACGGTGGGCATATCGGCATCGTACCCGCTTGAACCGCTCGAAATACCTCCATTTCGTCTTCTGCCGCCCAAGCCAAACCAAAATCAGCAGCCAACGCCGCCGCCCAGGCCCCCGCCAGTTGGCAACAACAACAACAGCAGCAGCAATAATAATATAAGTGGCAATGCTCTGCAGAATGCTTTGGTGTCGCCGCCGCTGGCCGTTGCCACAGCCACGGCCGCAGCTGGGTTGTCGCCCGAAATACGTATTGAATCGCCCAAGAATATGACCGTGGTGCAGCAGGCCACCTTTCAGCCGTACAAGGAGGTGACCAAGCCCTTTGAAATGTCCGACTTCTACAAGTACTCGACGAAGTTCAAGCAGAAAGAGGGCGGCCGGCCAGAATGACAAGAAAACGTTTTCATTTTTCTCCTAGTATATAGTTTGCTCTTGACTATACCTATTTATGATATTTTGTTTGACCGACGAGGATCGAATTTCCAATCTGAAATTGGTGCGTCCCATCGCGGTTGTGCCTTGCGGTTAGCGCAAAACGAACTACAAATTTGGCTGCGACATTCGAATATTAACAAAAATGTTTTATACAAATTTACAAAGAGTTAATTGATTGATAACAAATGAATAGAGAAAAGAGGATGTCCAAAATTAAGCGCCAAACAAATTGTACATTGACTCAACGCCTTCGTGATTTGCCTTTTATCAAAAGTTTTATATGTCTTTTACTGATATTGCATTTACAAACTGAACTGAATCGAAAGTGTTGTAGAAAAACTGATAGTTATTGTTAATTATGGATTGTACAAAATATAATTTGTACACTGACTTGAATATACACTAATCTATATATACATATATATAAATGAGTTTGTTTTTTCTATCTAGAAAATAATAAAAGTTTTGATGGACCCAACTGGACAATAACATCATATGCAAAGTTTTTGTTTATTAAACTATCTTTGAATCTTTCAAAACGAGTTGAATAAGGTCGATCGGATGGAACCCCATCACCCTAACCATATTCCACCTAAGTTAGTGGAATTTTCTTAGTGTCTAAGATTACCAGAGTCCTATCGGACAGTTCTATATTTAAACATATTCAAAGTTTAAAAAAAATCAATCGGATGGAACCCCATCACCCTAACCTTATTCCACAAATTTTTCACCTATGTTAGTGGAATTTTCTTACTGACTAGGGTTACCAGAGTGCTATATTTAAAATTGACTCCACTATTCTATTTTTTTTAAACTAATATCTTTAAATCTTTCAAAACGAGTTGAATAAGATCGATCGGACGGAACTTAATCATTTTCCATCAATTTTTCACCTATATTAGTGAAATTTTCTTAGTGTCTAAGGTTACCAGAGTTCGATCTGATAGCGCTATATTTCAACTTGACACTACTATTGTATTTAGTTTGAGATCTTCTTGTGTACATATCTTACAAGTATTGTGTGTCTCTGTTGGGGGCGAGTCTTATTTAATATATACACCGATTCTAGATTTGTTTATCTGTGCTGCATTCAATGGCCTCTCTGCGAGTAAGTAGTATGTGGCCAGAGATGCATGCACATCTGTTCGTGAGTCTGTGTGTGTGTGTGTGTGTATTTGAATATAGAAGACGTCTTGGTTGTTGTGCTTGAGTGAGCATTATTTTGGGTCCGGCTCTCTTTTGAATTTCCAACAACCAAAAATAAAAGACCAAAGGCCGATGGTTCTCTCTCTCTCTTAATGCCAGCCAGATCGATTCAGTTGCATTGGCTTGTTGCGCTGTTACGTGCAACTGCTCCGATCAGTTGCACTTTCACTTGGTGCACTTTCGGGTTCTGGAGTGCACATTTCAGAGGAGCCGGAAAAGCCACGCGATGACGATCTAACGTTTCGCGCACCCAGTTTTCTTTTTGTCTGTGTTTTTTTAGTTTAGAAAAGTCAGTTCTGTTCAAATTTTACGTAAATCTTTCTCCTACATAACCTCTGTTCGTGTGCGTGTGTGTTTGTGTTTAAACTGAACCAAATAAAACAGAAATAGACCGCAGCACGCTTTCAAAGCAAATTCAAATCAAGCAACAAGAACAGCAGCCGCGCAACCAGTAAACGGATCTATACAAAATTGTAGAAAAATAAATATGCATAATTGACAGTCGCAAATGTTTCCCTCAAACATTTTTGGCGGCCAAGTGTGAGCCAATTGCGTGGACATTGATAATGAATTTGGCCAAAATCGATCCGAGCAAGTGAATCATTTGTGATCCGCCTGAGACAAACAGAGACATCATGAATCTATATACAATATACGATTGGGTATGTAGCTAAAAAATGTTGCTAAGATGTTATCAAGCCCGATTTATGCACGGAATGCCAATTTTCGCTTGATAAAGACTACCTAAAACTTAACCAGAGCTGAATCAGATTTTGCATATTTTGTTTATAACTTAAAATACTAATTTGCATCATTAAACGTTTTTATATAAATATGATATAAATTGAATTGAACCAAGGCTTGAACCAAAACTTGAGTTTACAGGTTCAAAATGCAGGTTCACGAACCAAAGCTGAAGACGAGGCAATGCTTTGAACCGTGACCGGAACGAAAAAACGAGTTTTCAGTTTGCAGCCCTGGTTTTTAGCGTACCGCTTTATCTGCACGTGCTTTCAACAAATGGAAGCTAAATGCGTCTTTGACCTTTCACTCAAATAAGCTAAACAAGCCAAGGGCTCGCATCGCCCAAATCAAATAAACATTCAAATTTAGCGCCTTATCAACTGAGCGCCAACGCCATCAACCAATTTCAGGCGGCGGCAGCATGTTGATGGCGCTCTCGTTCCCATTGGCCGCCAACATGTTGCCCACAGAAGCGTTTGCGTTCCACATTTTGTTTATAAATAAGAAATGGGAGCGCATTCGGTGCACGGAACCGCTTCGAACCGTTGCAAATTTTGTACGTTAGGCGCGCGCTCTCTGCTCGCTTGCTTGTGATTTCTTTGGATTGACTCGAGGCACCTCGCCTCTGACAGAGTGCCTGATTTGAATTGGGAATCGAGCGACGCCTCCGCCAGCCGTCAGCCGTGCTGAGCGTGGTATTTTATTTATAAAAGAACTTGCATTGCAGGCGGTCGTCGGTAGCGCGCTTCGAATCGCTAGATAAAAGACGCGACCGTGTGTGTAAAGTTGTAGAAAAAAAAAGGAACACAAAATGAATAATTGTATCTATAAAAAAAGTACAAAGTGACAAGAAAGTTCAATTGCGCGGGTCTTCAACTTGAATGCGACCTTAACCATGAGTAAAATACATGTGAGTAGTTGGCAAAACTCTTAGCTTAGGGTTTACCTTAGTCTGAGGGCCGAGTAACTGCCTCGCCCAAGACACAGATGGGGCTTGGGTTAGGCCAAATGATTAGCTGACACATTCGTGTTAATATTCGATACATTTTTGTTGTAAGAAAATCAGATCCCATCAATGGCCCCTATTTATGGGGAGTGGCAATAGGTTATTACGACCCGAATGTGTGTCACACCCCAACAAATTCAGAGACTACCGCAACCGCGAATAAAATGAAATTTCCTCAATCAAAACCAGTCGGCGGCAGGAGCTGGAAGAATAGAATGTGGCTAAAACTTACGATTTCGCGAGACACGCACATGGAACAAAACTTTTATCGGGAACTAATGTAACCATGGCGATGGCGAAAACTGTTATCCCGATACTGTTAAAGGACCCAAATCAATTTGCGTGGCCCGACAAGTTCAAGGACGTTCAACAGGAGTCCAAGTCGTCGGCGACTCGTATAAGTCAAGTCTTTGGTATGCGTATTGCCCCAGTTTGTTGCATGACCCACATGCACTTATTTTGTAATTCTCTAGCAGAGCGCAGACGTTTGCGAAAGCAATAAGCGCATCGATCTCAATTAATGTCGAATATATACATAATCGTCTAATTGGATCTCCAGCCACAGACTTTATGGCGGATGCTCCGCCAGTTTCACACACATTGGCGTGTTACCTCACCCAGATATATCTCGAGTGGACAACGTTTTAATTAGTGGCGATGCTCGTAACATATATAAATAAACGAACCATCTGCAACTTTAATAAGTTGCAGGCGGTGATCTGTGCGTTTATTACAAAATTTAAGAATGCCTACGATATTCTAATTATAAAAGGGCGGCCGGTAGCCAGTGGCAACCTAATGCCACAGCTGCAATCCATCAAATAGCGCCTGAGTCAGCTGCCGCAGCGTGGGCCAGACCAGATGCCGCGGCATCGCACGGCCCGCTAATATACACTTGAGTTTAGTGTCAGATGCGCGGGTCAATTGGCTGGAGATGCCAGCGATTGGCACGCAAATGTTGCCCAATCAATGCCGATCTCTGAACACACAGATCGTTGCTGTTGCTCTTAGGCACTAATCTTTACATGTCGTTTCTTGGGCAAGTTTAATATGTGGCGTAACCCCGATAATCCTGACAATGCGTGTGCCGTTGTTGTGACAACATTGTCGCGTTGTTGGCGTTGAAAATGAGGTGACATCATTACGAAAACGAAATCCGAAATGATTTTATTATGGCGTCAGACCAAAAGTCACACTGCCAAGTCGGCCAAGCAGAAATCTGTGAAAGATGCACATTTAAGATCCCAATCGTACACATCTAGCGCTTTGCATGCACCAAATTAATGTATCTCATAGTATAAAAAGTATCTTTGGTGCATTCGGTAGTCCTTTAACAACAAATGGTACATCGTGTTATTACAGATCACATCATTGCTCCGCACGAGCAGTGGCAGCGCGTTCTACAAGGCAATCGAGGCGGCGCCGGAGGAGCCAGTCACCAATCCAAAGCCCGCTGCTGGACAGCAGCAACATAGCCAGGCGGCGGCAGCCAGCTGCAACTATACCGTACAGAATGTAGATGTTGAGTTTATACCAACATTGAATTTTGTCTTTCAAGCATCGGAGATCCACAATAAATCGGCAGACAGAGAGCACGAGCGACAGCAACATGTTGCCGAGAGTGCTCCAACAGCATGCGATAATATTGAGAGCTCAGGCGCCAACTCTGATGATGATAACGCATCGACGCACACATATATAATCTCCAGAAGTAGCTTTACAGCTGTCACCAGCTCGAGCAGCACTCCCTACGCGGTCACATCGACAGACACTGCCGAGCTACTAAGGCAGCAGAACAACCTGAGCCTCACCGAGAACGATAACACGATCTCTTCGTTCAGCATCGAGCCGCCCACAAGCTCCATTACCATTGACATGGCCGAGCAACAGCAACACACAGCGGCAACAACAACAAGTGAGGCAACAAGCAGCGGCCATGTGGCACCAAGGATAGCCACAGTGACCACAACAACAACCTCAAGCAGCAGCATAGAAGAGGACATTGAGGAAGCGATTGAGATAAGTGAGGTGGAGGAGCAACTGCACACGAACATAGATTCGCTTTCCGAGGCAGCTGGCTTTGCTCCTGCCACTACTAAACACGAGGACCCGCAATTAGAACAAAGTGCCAAATCCGAAAGCGACGAAGAGGCTGCAAAGTTCCGTATTGATGATGCTCAACTGTCTGGTGGGCAGCTGGCCCAGCATTTTCTGGTGGACGAAGAGGAAAGTGATGATGATCATGTTGAGCCAAGCAGCCCGAAAGATCAAGCAACCACGACGGACGATGATGATGACTTTGACATTAGCCTTCCGTTGGAGCAGCGTAAGCCGGTGCACTCCCGTCACGAGGATGACGTAGATGCGGCGTCCCATGGACAGGATGAAGGGGAGAGTCTTAGCAATCAAAGCACCACAGACGATGTCTCTGACTTTGTAGATGAGCCGCAACCGACAACGGAATCGGCATTAGATGCCAAAAGCTTAGCTGAGCAGGAACATGCCAGTACAATGGCATCTGCTATGTCGGAGACTGCCGACCATGAGTCGAAGCTGGAGGAGAGTGAGCTAGAAATAGATGCCGAGGCACCTAGCGAACAGGATCACTCGATGGAGGAAATCGTAGCCACTAATGAGTCTATAGAAATAACCTACGATGCGGAAGAAGCAGCCGCCAGCCACTCGCTGCTGAGTGCATCGCAAAAACTGGAAATGGTTACCGATTTAGATCGGGCTAAAACACCAGAAGCACATGCTGTGGAGCACTTGAATCTGCCACAAATACAAATGCCTCAAATAGTCGAGCACAAATCCGCCAAGATCCTGGAAACGCTGCATCTGCAACCGGAGCCACTGGATCTGATTACTTCAGATCTCGATGACGACGAGGATGAGGACGAGGAGTGCGAAATGCAACTGTTGAAACTTCGTTTAATGGCCATGCCCCAGCAGACGCTTTCTGATAGCGGGGCCAAAGGCTCGCCCACGGAGTCGCCAGCTTTACAGGAGGCTGGCGGCAGTGCTGGGAATGTGGAGCTCAAACAGATGGAACGTGTGCCGCTGACAGAGTTCAGCAAAGATGTGCTCGAGGACATTACCGAAGAGAGTGAACGCTTACTTTCCATAAGCACCACAGCGGATGAGCCGAAATCTCTGTCCCTGGAGGAGTCAAAGACATTACAGGAAGTCAGGCCAGGCAGCAATACGAGTTTTGTGAGCTTGAACATGTTAAAGCAGCTGGAGGCCAAGGTGCAAGACCTGCATTCGCAGCTGGAGACCAAAGACAATTGCCTGGCCTCCTTGAATTTGCAACTTGAAGCGGCGCGTCGTGAGTCCAGTGCGGGTCCGGCATCCGCTCGGGACAGCAGCTCGCTGGTAACTAACTCAACGGAGTATCGCACATTCCAAGAGGAGTTCGGTGCGCCGGTAAGACACTATTACATAGACCATGTCGAATAACTACTAATGCCCGTTTCTCTACAGACACTTGACATCTACGTGGAGCTGTCGCGGCGCGATGAAATAATCGCAAAGCTTACGGATTCACTGCAGCACTCTTTAAATGTCCGGAGCCAGCTGCAGTCAGATTCAGAAAGGCTTGGTGAGGAAGTGCAAGCCTTACGCAGGCAGCTGCATGATGCCATCGACACAGTCAAACGGAGCGGTTGGCCTGACCAGCAGGCCAATGCCGGACAGCGCATCTCCGAAATATCCATGGATCTGATCAGCGAAAGCGACGACGATCTGGAACGTAACTTTCTCACCGACCACGAGGATCGTGGATCCCGCAGCTCACGTGAGCGGCAGCTTTCGGTGCCAATCGATGACCTGGGCGTGGAGCCGTTGCCTCCTGAGTGGCCGCCAGCTTTCAGCAAGCAAATCGAACAGTTCCAAAAATGTCTGCTGCCCGGCGAGCTGCGACCGTTTCTTTTGGTGCAGCGTAAATTTGACGACTATCTAGCGCAGCAGTTGGCGCAGTGCCGGGATCAGTGCGCGCAAGAGATCAAGATCAGCCGTGATCAGTGGGAGAACGAGAAATTGGCAAGCGAGCAGGCCCAGCATGTGGCACACACTAAACAAATGGAGGAACTGCGCAAATACTTTGAGGGCCGTTGTGCCGACCTAGAGAAACAGTTTTCTGATGATGTATTCTCGCATAAGTCCCAGCATCTGGCAGGCGGCGACAGCTCCTCCGAGTGTTCGGAAGCAGAGCAGTTGCCCGAGGAAGCCGCCTCAAAGGAGCCGTCTCCGCGCAAGCGTAAACGCGCCGAGCTGCTGCTCAGTCCCAGCCACCGCCAAATAACGCCCAGTGGACTGGATTCCCTGGGCGAAACAGCGCCCACTTTAAAGGAAACTAAAGACAATGTGAGCAGAACATGCAGTTAAAACCAAAAATGAAATTGTAATTGAATATATTTTCAGATATCGCAGGAAATTGCGGACCTCAAAATATTCTATCAAACGCACATTCATGAACTGAAGCGTTCCCACGCCGACCAGGTGCGCAAACTGACGGAACGTCTGAGATTCTACGAGCGTCGTCAAGCAGATGATGACTATTTGGTAAGTTTTCACCTACATTTTTGCATGCTAATGTCTTTGTATGAAACTAACACAAAGCTTCAAAAGTGATTAACTTTTTGAATCTCATATACAATATATGTGATTACCTGAGCCCGTCAATTGACCAGCTGCTAACTGCATGTTCTTTCTTGTTTCTTTACTTTTATAACCCAATAAACAACTAAACCAAACTGTAACTACCTGGCACGGCCGCAACTAACCTGCACACAGCCAACCCACAATTCACCGCCTACCTGCCAAAAAGCCAGCCAAGATACATTGGATGTGGGGCCAACAACGCCTGCTCAAAATCCAAACAGTTCGCTGATCATTATCGACGAGGATGAGCTGAACCTGAATAACGAATCGCAGGTGATACAGCGCATCATTGAGGAGTACGAGCGACGGCTGCAGGAGCAGCTGGCGCTGGCACGCCAGGACATTGCCACCGAGCTAGAGCAGCAGATACAGGTGAGGTGTGGAGCGTGGAGCGCACATGCATGTGGTTATGGCTGCCTCTTCATCGCTGTTATTTGACAACTTTACTACTTGCCGCACATCCGTGCATGTTTTGCATGCTGCGTGTGATTCACCAAGCTCCGCCGTCTGTAATTCTCGTAACCAAAATTATTTCCGTCCACTCACTCGTTCAATGAAATTTCACGCACCGCGCGAAAATCGTGCAAAATTTTGTCAGGTCGCCAAAAAGAAGAACCGAAGCGAAACGTAATAAATTTTCCTGCGGAGTTCTTCAACTGTACGTGTGGCCCCACAAATGGCACATAGATACTATAGTTAGGCAAAGATCATTTCAGTTAGCTGACACGATGTGATCATTAAACAACAAAAACAATTTCCTTTTCCCTTTTCTTGCAACTGGTTCGTAATTGAAATAAATCTGTTCTTGGAGCAGCTATTTTAAGGCCAATGTCAACGATCCCAGTCGAATGTGGACGTGTGTCAGCCCTTCCCCGACTCCACTTCCAGCCACAATGTTCGGAAGCGGATTTATGGCGACAAGTGAGAAAGAAAAGAAAGATTCGAAAGAGTTTGTCATCGGAACAGTAGAATCTTAACAAGAGTTTCAAGTAGGGTCTCATTTATGTAGAAGCAAATTGAGGACAACTAAATGTGTGTCACAAATATGTTCTAACAAAAAAATATATTTTTATTTACATTGTGCACATTCATATATACACACATACGTATGTATGTGTGGTATTTGTTTGTTTGCCAACAAAATTTAGCAGACATTTTTCAGTAGGATGCATACATACATATATATGCGTATAACTTGTATGTTTTCAGAACCTGCGTATGTATGTGTGTATATGCCAATTTATCGTACAAACTAAACATGTGCTTCTCGTTGAAATATTCATAAACAAGCGTCTGGCAATGCAACCACTTCACATAAACGAAAGTTTGTCCCAGCCTAATAAAGCCCGGCCGGAAGTGCGAAGGGTAGTCCAGCTTAGAATTAATTAACTCCGCCGAGTTATTGGTACATATAGTTAGAAGTGTCGACAAACGAGTGCAATTACACGCGTGCATATGCACATACATATTTATATACACATACGTATGCATGTAAGTGCAATAACAGTGCGGAGCTCACTGTCCAAAATTAACGAACATAAATTTAAATTAATCTCAACACGCAACAAGCACACCAGTGCGGGCAAGCAGTGCAGCGTGCACTGCTTTGCCCACACAAAGCAAATACTCTCACTCTCTCTTCCGCTCTTGTTCGACCGTGCCGATCTTTATTAAAAGGCCTGTTTGCGTGAAGCGCCTGCTCAGTCTTTTCCGTTACTTCAAGGCGTACGTATGTTAAATCGCGTTGTGTGAACGAGGTGGCGAATTATAGATACAAATGTATATGTAAATACGCGAACAGAAGTGGACATAAATATACATATATATAAATACATATGTGCATAAGTGAATTAGCATAAAAACATGTGTGTTTATAATATCTTCATATAAAGTGAATAACTAAATACAAAAAAAAAGATAAACCAACTATAGCACAACACATACACAGACAAATCTGTGTACATACATAGAATTGAAAATTGAATTGCTATGGTGCTTAAGTGCTATGACATCTGAATAACTGTGTGTGCGTATGCATGTAGTCTTCAAATAAATACATATGTATATACATACATGTGTATGAACAGTCAAACATTCAATTATTAAATCAAATTTGTGAGTGAATTCGCGAGAACCAACTACAATTCAAATTTAACGGTTTTATGGTTGGCGTCTTTAAAAAAAAAGTAGCATACATACATGCATATTAAAGGGATTTTTGGATTTGAAAGAGCTACTAAAAAAGTAAGAGCATATAAATTATTATTATTAAAATTAGAAATGATGAAAGTTATTTAAACAAACCCGGATTCTCCTTGTTCAGAATAAACTAACTGTATATTAATAAGAAACATGAAAAATCTTGCAGTCGGATACAAACGACTCAGCAATTCTCTCTTAACATACCAAAAAGCATTAACTTTTAAACTTTGACTAGAATATATTGACTTTTGAAATTTGCAAGACGGAGATGGGCGTGCTTCGATATATTTATTTAGCATTAAAAGTGTGGAAGCGTTTTCGCTTTCTTGTAGCCAAACAAAATTGTACAATGGTTATGCACGAATATATATTTTAGGTTCTGGGTCTGTCAGCTTGCATAAAATTGCGGTCTTACAGACAGATCGGTAAGCAGCAAGCCAAGCATTGAACAAAACCAATATGCTCTTTTTAAATTTTGGGAACAGGGAGTCAAAATATAGCACATGAATGTGTACGAATGTATAATGTATATTCTAATCGATTCCTAAGTTCTCAGTAAGAGTTCCAAGAAAATAGTAATACAGACAGATCGACAAGCCAAGCATTAAACAAAACCAATATGCGCCTTCTAACTTTTGGGAACAGAGTGTAAAAATATATCAAAATACAGAGCATAAGTGAATGTGTACAAATGTATAATGTATATTCTGATCGATCCCAAACTTCTCAGTAAGAGTCCCAATCACAAAGATCTCTGAGGCACATGGTAAACACTTTTGTTTTTTGACGTGCTCCAAAACTAGGAAAAGTCGTTGCCCTTTTCCAAAACCATAAACACTATTCCTCTGTCAGGCAGTCCCAGCGTGTGATGTTATTTTCGGTTAAGGCGCAAAAATTTGGTTTTCAGTTGGTGCCTATTTTGGAAAGTTGTTCTATTTATAATGCGACACTCGGCTCGGAGTACGCATTCTGCATGTGCACTCGCATCTCTTGAACGAAGTGCACTGGTGCTGCTCCAACCAACTGATACTGATATCGATTTTCTCATTAACTAAATTTTCTAATTGATTTTTAATTGAATGGCTTACACGCCCACAAAATGAAGCAATTGGCAAGCCAATTAGCAGCAGGCGCTGTCTATATAAGCCCATTTTTCTGGACACTCAATCCAAGTATACAAGGGCCATGAGTTCTGACAACATAAAAGGTTCGCGGATTTTGGTGCGCATTCTTGGGTTTTGTGGACTTTGGCCTAGCCATGGCTCATCCCGATCCACGAAATGGATCTCCGGATGCAAACGCTTTCAGCCACTTGCGATTCATTTCGTTTTGACCTTTACCTTCACGGCCATGATGTGGATCGAGGCTTTGGGAAGCGACGATTTCGAGCACTGCACCGACGTGCTTTTCATCACGCTGACAATGACGGGGCTGGTGTCTAAGATTTTCAATAACTGGCGTCACGCTCACATTGCCCGCGAGCTGCTTCAGGAATGGAGCGCTAGCCAGCAGTTTGAAGTCCGAGCTGGGCCGGAGCGCGATATGTGGGAGCATGAACAGCGCAGGTTCTCCAAAGTCGTTCTGTTGTACTACGTCTGCAGTCTCGGCGTGGTGCCGTGCATCTTAATATCGTCGGCGGTCAACTATCCCAATGAGCTGCCGTTTTGGGTGTGGGTGCCCTTTGACTGGCAGCACCCGGCCAAGTTTTGGTACCTTTTCGCCTATGAACTCTTCGCTGTGCCATTTACGTGTATCTGCAACATAACAATGGATCTGCTTAACTGCTACCTTATGCTGTATGTCTCGCTGTGCCTCCAATTGCTGGGCATGCGCATGGCTGCACTGGCTCCCGCAGGGCACGGGAACTCTGAGCGCCAGCTGGTCGCACAGCTCGTGGAGGTGATTGCGCTCCACAGACGCGTCAAGAGCCACGCCAAGAAGGTCCAGATCTTCATTTCGAAGAGCACTCTCATCCAGATCTTGCTGAGCGCTGTAATACTGTGTCTCTCCATCTACCGCTTGCAGATGGTAAGTGAGCAGGCTACGTCGTGGTCATGTGTTGATATTGAATTTGTTCGTTCCTTGCCAGCTTAATGTACTGCAGTCTCCGGGCCTGTTCACGGCTATGACGCAGTATTTGTTCTCAATGATCATGCAAATCTTTTTGCCCAGCATTTATGGCAACGAAATTACCCACAACGCAGATCAGTTGCCCAACGCGCTCTACAGTTGCCAGTGGCCGGACATGTCGAAACGTATGCGTCGTCTAATACTCTGCTTTTTGATCTACTTGAATCGCCCAATGGCACTTAAAGCCGGCGGCTTTTTTGAAGTGGGTCTCCCACTTTTCACCAAGGTACCGATCACTTTCATTCGTTAGACTTGGTTTTACCTACTAATACTACTTTATTACAGACCATGAACCAAGCTTATAGCCTTTTGGCCTTGCTTCTGAACGTCAACAGCAAATAAATTGGGGGAGTCTTTTACTTTGCAAATATATCACAAATTTAACCGAATTTATATGCACATATCAATAGCTTTGTAGTTTCAATTCAAATAAATGTAGATTGCGTTACTTTGATTTTGGAGGCATACAAATAAGATCCTCAGGCAACACGCCCTGTTGTAGAAAAGTTTGCATAAAGATGAGGAATACATCTCACAAATTTTGCAAACATACGCACAACTTTTGTTGCTTACAAAAAATATTGATGGTAACAACGTATTTGGCATTTGACAATGATATTATTAATGATTAAAAACTATTTTAATAACATTATATATTTTCTGGATCTGTATAATACCTGCAGCTTTTATAAGCTCCGAGAAAGGCAAAAAGAAAACCTATTCTGAAAATCGTTACTTATAGATTTGGGAACTATCTAATATTTGAAATAAGTTTGATGGGCTTGGACAATAGGAGCATTTCAAACTTGAAGCATCTTGCTTCCATAGTCTCTGAGATAGAGGTGGAATATAGAAGGAAATCATAAGATCGGCACAGTTATTGATGTTGATCAAGCATATTTTCACTTTATGGGGAGATGCTTCCTTTCGCGTGTTACATACATTTCCCAAAAAGTAATCCCCATTTATTTCAAACTTAATTTCAATGGTTACACGAAACAAATATATATTTATCCCAGTTGTTTAAGGCATATTAATGGAATATGCATTTTCACACGTTTACGTCTGGAACAATTAAGGCGGGACATACAAATTTCTCATGTTGGTTTTCGGACCTCATATGCAGAGCAGGTTTATTTTGTTTTTGCATAAAAACGAAATGAATTATTAACACGAATTTATGACGTATGCACTTTTGCACACATGTTGTTTTTATTTCTATTTATTATTTCAGTCAGTTATGCAACCAACTAAAAATACTTATTTCTGCTATGCAGTTTATGCATGTGGTTGCATGTCAATTTTTAAAATGGGACGAAAATAAAAATGTGCTTTCCTTTACATATTGTACTTTTCCTTTGTAAAGCTCCGTGATAATGTATTAGGTGCAACAGTGGCACCTTTTCTATCGCGCTCTCTCTCTCTCCCTCTATCTTTGTCTCTCTCTTTCTCTTTCTCTCTCTCCCTTTATCGTTGTCTCTCTCTTTCTTTCTCTCTTTATCTTTCTCTCTCTCTCTCTCTTTATCTTTCTCTCTCTCTCTCTCTTTATCTTTCTCTCTCTCTCCCTCTCTTTCTCTATCTCTCGCTATCCATATATCTCTCTCGCTCTCTCTATATATATATATATATCTCCACCCCTCGCTATCCATCTATATCTATCTCTCGCTATCCATCTATCTCTATCTCTCGCGATCCATCTATCTCTCTCTCTCTTTATATCTCCCTCTCCATCTTTCACATTATGTTTTTGTACATAAAATGATGTTCTTCGTATGTACCTAAGGGTATCTTGTAGTCGTGCACTCCCGATTCTTACTTATATTTTCAATGCGCCATTTTTAGCAAACCACACGAGAAAAGTAGGTATGCGAGGAACCCAAAGTAAATAAATAAGTTAATCAGAGAGCTGATACTCTCTGGAAAATATTAATCAGCTTAGAGCACGACCCCATTGCCAGAGATAAGGCATTAAGAGCTGCAAATGTTCGGTCTAGTTGAAATTACTTTTATTTGAATTTAATTCAGTTTTTCACTTTAATTTAAAAACATTTGCCACTTGATGCAGCTGCCACTGCTGCTGCTCTTCAACTTGCCCTTTCCCTTTCCAAGATTGTGGCATGTTTATTGAGATTTATGTTGCACCCTCCCACTACTACAATCGAGCCATTCCAGAGGCAACGTCGCGACTTGTCGATGATGATAAACAAAAATGCGGCGGACACCCACTCGACTTTCCTTGCTTGTCTGATCAGATGTAAGACCAAAAATGAAGAATGTGTAGCGTAAACGTTTAACACCATTTCTCTGCCATGAACATGTAAATGTTTTGCTTTGATATGACTATAAACAATAAATATTTATGTCCTGTTGCGATGAAATGCAGCCTTTCGAAGAACTGCCTGTCCACCGATCCATTGATCTGGTCTTATATGTGTCCAATATGCGAGCAACTGGTGTAACAGACTTTCACAGTTTAATTTTGTTTATGTACAAGTTTGTTTTCGTTATTAATGTCCTGTCCAAATTGCTTTTGCAGAGTTTGTTGTCGGAGAGCGCAGTCGACGACCAACATTGGCCCAAGGAACTAATACTGTTACGAGAGAAGTTTACGGCCAAGAGTCAATTGGAGATAACCCAGTTGAATATAAAACATGCCGAAGAGGTGAGTTCTTCAAATCTCTAATAAGAATATATCCCTCTATTAAAACCCTCAACAAACTAATCCACAGATGTCGCGCATGAAATTGGAATATGAGAAACAGCTCAACCGCAAGAACAAGCGGCATCTGACGTTCGATTCGGGACGGGACTTGGAGATCATTATTAACGAGCGCGATGGATTGCGGCAACTATCGAAGAGCTTCCGCAGCGTGCTCTCTCGCCTGGCCAAATGTGTGGCCAATTGCGAGGGCGACCTCAATGCGACGCTCTCCGAGGAAATGCAGCGCATACTAACCCAGAGTCGCAGCCAGGAAGGGGGCGAGGATGTGGAGCACACGCTGAGTAGCTCCTTGCTGCAGGGTTCGTTCAACAACACAAAACATCTGCGCCTGGTGCCCGATGTGCACAGTCTATTGGAGGTGGTTGAGGATCCCAGTCTATTGCAGTTCATCGACAGCAAAAATAGCGATGATCAAAACGATTACTTTGATCTGGGCGATTGCCTAGAGCGCTTGAAATCGGAGGCCGCCTACTTGCTGCAGCTGTCCGAGGATTTGGATAGGCAGCGCGCCAACGAGTCTGTGGAGCGACAGGATGAGCCAGAGAAACAGGAGCACGAATTGTGCTGCGAAGCCGAGGACGGTCTGAAAACAACAGCGCCAGTGCCACCAACTCAGCAGCAGCTGCTCCATGAGCTACTGCGCACCAGCTCGCTGAATGATCAGCATCTGGGCGTGGCACATCAGCGCAAGAGCAGCAATGGCGCGCAGATGATCAAGCCGCTCAGCTCGCTGCCGCTTGATCTGCAGCAAAATGCGGGCAACGCCTCCGAGCTCAGTTTTCAGCTAGTGGAGCTAAAGAATCGCCTGGTCAAATCGGAAACGGATCGACAGAATCTGCAGCAGCAGCTAACGCATACAATAGATCGTAATGCCGAGTTGGGTCAGGAGCTGCAGGCGCTGCGCGATCAGCTGTCGCAGTTGAACTCGCTGAACCATACCGATTATGCCGAGGGCTACGGCCTTGGCGACATTAAGAGCCCGCAAGCACTGGATCAGTCGTCGGCTAGCTTTGTGCAACTCCAGGAGAAGGCACGTCATTTGCTCACCTCGCCCACGCAACAGCAGTCGCAGGAGCAGGGCAATGCAACAGTTATATTGCTCCAGATGATAGAGGACTTCTGCCGCGAGGGCGATAAGGTGGTCGAATCGGGCAAGAAGGACCGCGAGGATCTGCAGTCACAGGTGAGTTCCACTGTAGACACTTGTCATAACTACCGATCCCTGTCATGTTGTTGAGTGCCTAACGCATGATCAGTAGATTACCCGTTGAGCGCGTCTAGTTTTAAGCAAAGTACAAGCTTAGGTTATTACCTCCCATCCATGCTAAACCACCACAACAGATCGATACCGCCGACAAACAGCTAAAGGCCACGCGGCAGTTCCTGGAAGAGCAGGCCGCCGAGCGCGAACAGGAACGCGATGAGTTTCAGCGCGAGATTGAGCACTTAAAATCGCAGCTGCGCGACAAGGAAAAAGAGCGCAGCTCTTTTGCCAATGCCTCTGAGGAGGTGAGTGCCCTCATATCAAGGGTCTTTCAGTCATATATTACTTATGATATACTACTTATGATTTGGGATTGGTTAAATGTTTTTTTCGTTTCGTTTGGTTTGCTATGGATTTGTTCTATTTCTTCTTCTGGACTATTATGCTGATACTATTTGTTATATTATAATGTGATTTTGATTTCAATATTGGCATAGGTCAAAAGTTCTTTTGAATATTTTAAGTTACCTTTTCCTCCCTTGCACCGATGCCTAACACAAACTACACGCTGCATAGTTACAAATTTTTACTTATTATTTACAAAAATGCACAAAACATTACACAAATTGGCTAAATCTCACTTGTCTGGAGTACTTCATAAAACTTTTAAGCAAACAATTGACTGCTCAAAAAATAAAAAGCACCTGTTGTGCGTTATTCAAAATACAAGCCAATCGGAAGCCCAATGTACCCCCTCTGGTGAACATTCCATCTGGTTTTTTATATCGAAGTCAAGGGCAGCATGATTGTCGGATATATACGCACACTAAATGTATCTTTCGTAAGCATGTGCCGATGTATTTATAGATACAGCAGAAAGCAATCATTTGGTAGCGCGGGAGTCACTTAATTTTCTTCCGTTTGCAAAATGTTTTACACACACAATATTTTTCCTTGATATGCACTAACAATAAATGTTAATATTAATTATTCCAATTCCAATCGTACCTCCTTGCATGCTCACACAATAACAACAATAATAATAATAACAACAATCTAATCTATTCCCAATATACCTAAAAAAAAACCTAACTGCACCTGAAATTGATATGCACCACAAACATTTAAGTTGAGGGTAGTGAAGGAGAAGCATGTAAGTTGCCACGCCCAGTCCCACGCACTTGATTAGCTTATAAGAAAACATTATATTGTTCACATAATTATGGAATATTCCTCCCAACAGTATGCTCAGCTGGAGACGCAATTGCGCGAGATGAGCCAACAGCTGTGCGAGTCGAATGCCAAAGGGGACAAATTGGAAGTGGAACTTAAGGCGTCCATAGACAAGATCTTTGTACTGCGCGAGATTATCTCCGAGCTGGAGACACAGGTGCAGACCAAGGCGCTAAACGAGCAGGTGCTGGACGAGAAGGCTAAGCAGCTGGAGGATTATGTCAAAGTACAAATGTGCTCCAATGATGCGCTGCAACAGGAGGTGCACAGCTTGAAGACAGACATAGGCGAGGGCTATCAGACGCGCATCCGCCAGCTGGAGGAAAAGCTGCAGCAGGGACTGCCCTCTGCCGAACAAAGCATGGTGTTCAATCAGGTGACAGAGCAGCTGCTTTTTATTGAAACAACTTTGGATCAGAAGACCAAGACACTGGAATCGCTGCACAACTCCAACACGACCTCCAACTCGTGCAGCCTCAGCGCCACAGAGGATGTGTCCGTCCACGGTGGCAACAAGCAGTCAACGGCAGCTCCCACAACCGAAGGCTCACCCAAACACTCGCTGACAGTGGAGGGGGTGCAGCGCGTGGTCGAGAAACTGGACAGGCATACGCGGGTCGAGGAGGCTGCAATCAAGCGCATACGTGATCTAGAAATGCAAGTCACCCAGATGCGCAGTGCCTGTGTGGTGAGTACAAATCATTCTGCAAAGCTTTTCTGGTGAAAAATCAGATGTTGGTTGTTGTCTTCGCTAAACTCAATCAATAAGATAAATCTCGCCTCAGATGCTCGAAATTAGCTTTTTCGGCTATTTAGCAGTGGGATAAGATGCTTCTGTTAATCATTCCTAAACCGTAGAAACATTTAAGAAATATAATTTTAAAAGTATGTTTAACGAGGCGCCACAGTTTGCGATGCACTGTGCTATATCTAGAGTGTTCCCTTACTGTGCTATAATCGCACAGTTTCTGATTGATTGTGCTATAATTACAGTTTTGTGGGGAATTGTGGGATGATCAGATTCTAAATTTGTAAATTTGAATTCTGCGGTTGTTCGGCATCGTTCGCTGTTTCGCCCCGTTCAGTTGCCTGTCGAGTGTCTCCCGCGTCGCACATGGCGATACTTGGGTTTTATTTGTCGGGATTCTTTTAAAATGATTGATAAATCATAAGTTAATTAAATTTGCTTAATAAATATTAATAAAGAGTGGCAAAGTGGCATGTTGTTGCGTTCAAAATATGCGCCCAACTTCAACATGGTTCCAATTCGAGTGAGTTATAAGAATTTGAATACACAGTCCCGTTTTTAGAAGCGTTGACAAGTGGCACACAATTGAAACTCAATTGGTATGCGTAACATTTGTTAATAAACATATGCATACATAAACAAATTTGTATACATAATTCTGCTTGCACATAGTATACATACACGAATTATAATAACAAGGTTAGAAAAGTACACAGGCAAATCGTACTTGCAGTACATACAATTTCCTGTATATATATTAGTCTATGTTTAACGTTATTTAGTGCATCATTATATGGGAAAAAGCTGTTTAGAAAATGGCACAAGCTCTGTCAAAAATAGGCGCACCCGTCATCCCCTGTCAGCTTCATTCATTTACCCGGTTTGTGCTACTTTTAGAGGTGCATTCCCATCAGCTAAAAGCCGAAATATTTTTTTCTAAATAAATCACTTGTGGCCCCTTTATCGCACCTGGTTCAATCTATAATCTAACGCCTGATTGTTTACAATATGCACGCGCCATGCCACAAGAACCTAGTTGAAAGACGAATACTCGAGTCTAAAGGACAGGGGCTGTTTGAATACATTTCTTTGTTTCGGCAGAATGGGTAGGGAACAGAGGGAAAAGTATGCCCGCATCAGCACACTAAAAGCCGCTTGGAATAATACAAACACAAATATTGTGGAGAGACAAGTGCGAGTCTCATCTGTGCTGCATCATTTGAATGCTTTCAATTTATCTTAATTGAAGTTCGCAAGGGGCGGAGGAGGGGGGGTGGCTATGGCAGGGTGGGGACAGATGCGGTCGGCCGTTGACTGCCACACGATGTTGTACTCAAAAATTGACCATTACATTTGCATTTGCATTTGCAGGAATTGCAGCATGAGCGGGACTCGTTGCAGGGTCGCATCGATGAGCAGACACATCGCATTTCGACGCTACAGAAGCGTCTGGAAGAGCAGCGCCAGCGAGCCGAGCAACTCCATCGAGCGGGCACCTCCGATCTCAACACTCGTGTTCACGAGCTTCAGAGCGAGGTGCGCAATCTTGGCGAGCAGCTGTCGGCGCGCGATAAACAAATGGCCACCATGCAGCAGCAGCTGCAGCGCAGCAAAGATGAAATAGTTCGCCTTGAGGCAGAGCTCGCTGCACGCGCTCAGCCGGACCGCAGTCTCGTTGAACGCTTGGAGGCGGATGTGCAGCAGAAGGGCAAAGAGCTGCAAAAGCTCAAGGAGACGATGCGCACTGAAATGGTGAATCGCCTAGCGCTGCCCGACCTAATGGAAACTATGCTGGCTGATAAGAACGACGAGATTGACCATTTGCAGGCGCAATTAGAAGCAAAGGAGCGCGAGTTGCAGGCGGCCAAGGATGTCAGCCAGGCTTCCTCGCCGGCTGCCGGCAAGCATGATGCAAGTGCTAAGCACAGCGCTCGAACACTTAGCGATATTGGCTCGATTACCGAATTTCCTGAGCCGGATGTCGAACGGCGGGCAGAGAATCGCAGTCTCCATGTGCCACTTCAGCTGCCCGAAGCTGCGGGCGGCTTCCTGCATCAGACAATGGTGAGTGCTGAAGGGTTGCTGTGCAGTTATTTGTATTACAATCGATTTCTTGCAGGAAACCTCAAAGGAAGCTGTCGCGAATCTCACGTACAAGCGCACAGATGACTTGAGTGGCTTTGTAATGGCCCATCCTGTCAACACGTTCGAGCACCCACACTATTTCCAGGTGCCCAATGCCCACGGGGTGACCGCTCAAAACAGCGGAGACCTGACACCGGGTTTGGTGCCTCGACAGATCAATTTCTCGAATTTAACAGAGGACTCCAAGATGAAGACGCCCAGCCTGCTTATGCAGACTCCTGAGTTGCCCAAAGCGATGGCGTCGCCGGAACTGCAGCAGCTAAGGCAAAAGCTATCGGCACTGGAAGAGGAGAAGCATCGACAAAAAACCGAACTAGAGTCGAATCTTTTACAGTTGCAGGAGCAACTCTCCAATGAGAAGCAGCAGGTGGAGAGGCAACAAAAGTTACTTCGGGACCACGAGGAGAGTGAGAAAAAATATAGGCTTCGCGTAGATTCGCTGGAGGACAAAATTCTGGAGACTGCCGCCCAGGGAGCGGCCGATCGAGAAACGCTGCGAAGAGAGCTGAACTTAGTGAGTGCGGCGCATGCACAATGCGAGCAACAGCATCGGGATGCGGCAGCGGCCCGAAAGCGTGAAGTTGAGATACTTAATGCAGAGATAAAGGCCAAGACGGAGCGCAATCGAGAGCTGACAGAAACATTGCAGGCCGCACAGCAGCGCAGTGAGGAGCTGCAGCAACAGGTGCACGCCTTGGAGCGTGATCTGGAGCGACTGAGGAACAGCGAGCAAAGCTCCAAGCAGTATTCGGTAGATGAGATCGCACAGCAAGTGGAAAAAGAGCTCAACTACTCGGCGCAGCTCGACTCGAATATACTCAAAGCGATTGAAAGCGAAGAGGAAAACAATTTGGACAAGTTGCACCAAAAAGAAGTGCAGACTGCTGCCAATCCTGCCTCCGGAAATGCAAACGGACACGGCACTGACGACGAGAACTACACCGGGGAACGCGAGCTGCTAAATCAACTAGAGGCAGTCAGGGCTCAGTTGGCCGTGGAGCGGGAGCAGACAGAGACGCTGAGCAAAGAGCTTCTGGGCGAGAAACAGCATTCGCAGGAAATACAGGAACAGGATGTGCTAATCATCGAGGCAATGCGTAAGCGCCTGGAAGCCGTACTGGAGGCCGAAGACGACCTACACAAACAACTAGATATGGAGCGCGAGCGGTGCGACAGGCTACAAACGCAGCTTACCTCACTGCAGCGGGCCGAGAGTCGGCGTAGCAGCATGCTATTGAAGTCGCCCACAGACTCGCCGCGCAAATCACCTCGCTCAGATTTCGAGTCGGAGCTGTGCGACAGACTGCGCAGCGAACTAAAGTTGCTGACCGCCCAAAACGAGCGGGAGAGGGAGCGCTCGGCGGATGCTCAACGCAGCAGCGAGCGTGAGCGCCAGCGCTATGAAAAGGAGCTCCAGGAACGCGTGGCCTATTGTGAGCGGCTCAAGCAGGAGATGGATAAGCTGGCACGCGACAAGGAATCGGCCGAAATGGAGCTGGAGCATTTCAACGAACGCCTCACATTGCAAGCCAATGAAATTGAGAGTCTGGAGGCGCGTATGGTGACACTACAAGAATCAGAGACGCGTCGCGCCAACACACGAGCTCGACAGCACCAGGAGCAGGCCAAACTTCAGGCAGAGATTCACGAGCTTAAATCAAAGCTACTGGCTGCTGAGTCCACTAAAGAAAACCTAGAGCAGAAGATCAGCCAACTGCGCTTCGATGTGGCCCGCTCGGCACAGCGTGAGTCGAAGTTGTCAGAGGCCTTGGTTCAGGCCAACGATCGGCTGGCCCACAGCACGGAGGACACAGTGCCGGCACAGTTTCTGCAAAAGATGAAGGAGATCAACACACTGCTGGCGGAGAACACACAGGAGAATCGACAGATGGCCGAAACAGTGCAGTACCTGGTAGGCGAGCGCATTGCACTGCAAAAGAAGTGCGAGGAGCTCGGCGGCAATGGTACCGCACACGTCAGTGAGCTCGAGGATCGCTGCCGACAGCTGCTGGGCCGATATCTGCGAGTCGAGAGTCATCGCAAAGCACTCGTTTATCAGAAGCGTTACCTCAAGCTTACGCTGGAGAGCTACCAGGCGAGTGAGCAACTGGCCCTGCAAAACATGGCCGGTGGCAAACCGAACCAGCAGCGGCTCCCCAAAAAGAAACTCTTCAAGTAAGATGCATACAAAATGTAGCTAGTTCCATTATTAATGTGCATTTGCTTTCAGGACTGTCGCACTGGCCATTATCGCCATACAGCGCATCAAGTACATTGGCCGCATTTGGCACACCGGCAAACGGATTGTGAGCAAATCGGTGTTTACCATAACGCAGCAAAGGTGAGCAGAATCATGAATCATGGAGAACCTAACGGAGATTTGTTATTCTTGATCATAAGCTAAGCCATTGCTCTCATTGTTTTCTCCCGTGTAGCGCTAAGCTGCCCCTAGTGGCAGTCAATATGAGAGTCAAGTTGAGCAAAGGCGATTCCGCCCATAAATAGTTACCCAGAGGTCTGCTCTACCTGCATACAATTTGATAGCACTCTCCTTTTCACTTAACACCAAAAAGTTGTTATAGCATCAGCAATTCGTTGCAACATTTAAAATTCAAAGTATTTAGATTTTCTTTCCTGTTGATCTCACTTTGCAGTATCTTTCCACAGTTATTGGCTCTTTCACTCTACTGCACTGTTTGCTTTTTACACACACTTACTGATGCCCTTTTCCTTGCAGAGCTGGCCCGTGTCTCAATCTTAATGTGCCGACGTCTCCACGGCCCGTGGCACATCAGAATGCTGCTAACTTGAACAGCAACTCGCCCACCAGCTCAAATAACATAGGACGTTTGAGTTATGCGCCCGCCTCCCCGTCCCTCGCACCAGCTGTGAACTTCAGCAGCTTACAGCCCATCGTGCTAGCCCACGACTACACCTTGCAGACACCAGCCCTTCTTAATAATAATAACAACAATAATAACAACAACAATAAGAATGAAAGCGCCCTGCCCTCGCTGACAAGTCTGGACTGGCCGACAACAACACAAAAAGCAAAGCGCGTGCATTCGCGACATCATTAGTAAATGCAATTGAATAATGGAAGCGTGCTCAAAATATTAGATTGTTAAGAGATCCCGTTCGTAAGACAGCCATTAATGATAGTAGATGTGTATAACTGCGGCCTATATTAGTGTTAATGTTATATTCCTGCTAACTGTACGTTTTAAAATGTTGTCTAGTTATGAACTACTTGTAAGTCCCTAGTTAAGAGCCAAAAATCCTCACCAAACCCAACAAAATACACGAATGTTAAAGTTAAAGCAAGCATGTACCCGTTAATTATTGATTTATAATTTTAAACCCTTGTAGATCTGATCCTATCTCAATCCCAGTATTTATATGTGTAAAACCTTTCGTTTAATTATCTACCTAAGTACTCGCCACTTGAACTACCTTAATTACGTTTAGTTTATGGACCTGTGCGACTGTCTTTGATTGTTTTTAAGCTGATTAAAGCTAACTTATGCACATTCTAAGGTATCAGTTTTTTTTATCATTTGACTTTGTTCGTGTTTGGCAACTGAAACATATTTCGAATGTGCCTTAGTTGTGCGAGAGGGGCTAATTTAGCATTTAATGTTAAACTTGTAAGAACATCCATAAGAGAAGTTTTAATAAAAATATGTTAAATAACTAACCAAGATATCTTTTGTGTTTCCCCATAGAGGGGCAGCAAAGATTGATTGGGAACAAAGAGCACCTGCAACAGGTTATCGAAAAGGGGGTTGGGCAGAATGGACAGCGACTGTAGCGCGCTCTTTGGGGCTGGGCGTCAAAGCGAAAGCTGCCACAAGGCAAATGCCTTCGGGATGGACGTCAATCCAAATTTAACCCCTAATGCTGATTGCTGCATAGACAGTCGAGACAATTACCGGCCAGCCACGTTATCAACACAATGAACGCAACACGAAGGCGCCCCTAATCTCTGACTGATAACAGTCGAAAGCTTTTTGCCGACTTAGCGCCACGCGAAGGCTTTGTTGCCCCGAGGAGCTTTTTGCGAGCAACACGAACGATGGTGACAACATTCCTAGCATATGGCAGCATTCTATGGCGTATCGGCTACCATTATATATCCTGGCTTTGTGGCAAGCAGTTGGAATCTGGCACGCTGAGCGGTAGATGTTGCTACCATTTCATTTGTGCATCGAGCAACTTTATTTGTTTACCACTCGAATACAAATAGAATTTTTTAAAAATTTCAAAACATTCTCAATTTATTGTGGCAGAAAAGTGCATTTGTTTCGGTGTATAAATCAAATTTGTGAGTTTTAGAACGAGACGAAATTGAAATAGCTTTACAGCAGTTGCTAAACAATTATGCTCCGCGGACGTTCAATTTGCATTTACAATCAATAACAATAACTTGTTTTAGTGCTCATTCACTCAAACTATAATAAAATAAATTACCAGCGCCTACCTTTCTAAATTCTCCAAGGTAAGTTGAATGTGAATGTGATTTACAAAAAATATAAATACGTAATTTGCTATGATTTACATGTTTGTCATATTTTCCCAATAATTTCTAAATAAATATCAAATATTATGTACTTAAGTAAGCCATTAAAAGATTGACTTGCTATTTTTGATAGATGCTACTCCTTCTAATGGCATAATGGATTTTTATTTGTCACTTGGGAAAAAGGAAAACAAAAATGTCATTTAATTCTCTGCCTGTTGAGGGAAACTCAACCAAAATAAACGTATGTAGCATGTGTAAGGCTACATCCCGCCCGGCCGTTCCCCCCTCCCCCGCACTCATCTCGTGTAGAGGTTATTAAAACTGCGATTGCTTGCCTAGCGGGCAGCCAAGGCACAAACTGCCGATGTCCTTGGCAAAAGGCAATCCCAGTAATAAGAGGACGGACACAGCAGTCGGGGGGACGACCCTTGGCCACTCTTGAGATGGTCCTATTGGCTTCACTTGGCTTGGGGTTGGGCTGGTTTGCCTCGGTTCGGAGGCGTATGGATTTCTATGTGCATAATATTTGAGTGGGCAGCATTTCTCTTGGGTTCTGTGCGGAATTATATTTAGCAACTGCACTTACATGGCATACAACATGAATTTGAATCTTTGATAAGATACGCACGGCATGGTTGGCCGCTTATCAGATATGTTTGTATACATTTCTATAATTTTTGACAATATTCGCTGCGCCACGCAGATCACTTGGTTACTACGCCTACACTCAATTGATTACGTAGGGGTTTGTATGTTCTAAAATGCTTTTATGACGTCAATCAGCAATTACGACCATATACCAAAACGATATATACAAATTTGGCCTACTTATCTTTGCAGACAAGAAGACTGATAATGAATATAAACAAATTAAACAATGTTTATTAATTATTTTAAAAGGGCATTTCTAACAGAACGCACCAGCGTGAATAAATTAAGACCCTTGATTTAAAACAAATTTGTCCGGGACAAAAAAATGAAAAATGTATACATTGAGAATTTTTGCTGAGTTTTTAAAAAAGGTTCAAAGCCGATCGAACGAAATTTGAAACTTCTTATTTTGACCCCCATTTTCCACCCTTTAGGAGTGGATCTTACGAAAAGAGTGAAGCAAGTTAAATGTCCTTAAAAACGTCCTTAAGACGATCGCATGGCTAACACAAAAGTTTCATGCAATAGTTTTCCGCGATTTTTCCACACTTGCAGGTGGAATTTGCCAAATTTCACACGAGGTGACCACAGTAAATATTTAGAATTTAGAATTATACGTATTTTCCAAAATAAAATATGTTGGTTTAGAATAAACAAGTTAGAGTACTTTAGTCGGGATTGCCCGATTCACACTTGCGGCTGGAAATTCCCAAAACCCCGCAATAGAGTGCATATACTCCACATATGGTAACTATAGTAAAATTTCAGCTCGTAGCTATTAGAGTTTCGGCTATGCGTTGATCAGTCATTAGGCTCTGATTACTTTTGAACCATTTATGCTTGCACATGATTTGATTCATAAAAGCCCAGAGGAGTAATTGGTAAGCACATTGTATCCCATTGCCAAACACAGCTTAATTATAGCTCCCAATGCAAACATGGTTATCATACACTTCACAACAAGTAAGAATGCTTTAGACGGGTGTTCCCGACTATAAAATATGCTGATCCCAACTCCGAGCTGCAATATACTTGATCTGTACATACTAAATAATTAGCTACAAGGCGAATTTTGTCACTTTAGCTCCTAAAGCCTAAAATAACATATATATTCTCGGAAAATAAGGGTATTGATATCTATTTATATCGATTGCTTGGAAACGGCGAAAGTTTTTGATGATCGGAAATTAACTCGTGCTGTGCGAGCACTAGAAGGACCTACGTTCAAAATATCAAATTTCTGAAGCTATAATAGCTTCTGAGTTGGACGTGTGCCTACATTCGGCCAGACAGACCTAAATACGGATGGACAGACAGACGGACATAGCTAGATCGAATCGACTATTGACCAAGAATGTATATATTTTATTGTCTCGGAGATGCTTCTTTCCGCCTGTTACTTACATTTACAAAAACCATTATACTCTTTTACATGTTTTCAATAGGTTTAGGGTATATAAAGTGCGAAAACTGGAGTCGGGTGCAACCGACTTTGTAACACTCTTTCGGTGTGCCAAAATGTAGTTGAGTTGATTTTTGCAGGGACTCTAAGGTAGTTTTAATATCTATTTGGTCACTTTAGTGCAAACTGGAGAATGTATAGAGTTTCGGGATTTGAAATGCCACCTACGGGTGCAGCCATATAATGTCTTCTAACTTTATCTCACGCAGGAATATTTGAGTATATGTTTCAAGTGTTAAGCACAAAACCAATATACTTCTTTCACTTTCTGAAAAGAGCCCACAATTTGTTTTTTTTTTAGGAAACTTTGCAGTTGGAGCTAATTTGTATTTATTTGCGCAGCTTTGCCTTATGAGAAAGACGTACTTTTTTGGCGACTTTTTTGTTTTTTAAATATATTTGTCTTATGTTCTAGACTGTTTTCCAGATTAGACAATAAAACAGTTGTCCCAATGAGAAGCTAGCAAAATCATTGTTAACTTTCTTCAAGCTAAGCAAATAATTCGGAAGTTTGACGCTCGAAAAGTAGATAAACAATTAACGAAATGTGCACACGTTTTAATTGTGGCAATTGCATGGCGAAATTGGCTAAATCAATATTTAGCAAAAAGATCTGGTGTTTTAGTAATAAAAGCAGCCATCACTGCGAACCGAAATCAGTTGAGGACAGAATTCGAAATCCAAAATGCGTTGGCTACATTCTTTTATATTCATCAGCCTGGCGGCTTTGGTGCTGTCAGATAAACCAAATCGCCTTGTACGTGCACCACTAATCCGCCAATCCCTAATCAAGTTAGCCGTTCAACCGGCCATTGTCAGCGGGCCAGTGGCAGAGACATCTGATGAAGAGCCTCTCATCAAGTTGGCCGTTCAGCCGGCCATTGCCGCCGAGCCGGTGGCAGTGACATCTGTTGAAGAAAGCCCGGAGGATGAGGAGCCCGTTCAAATAGCGCCCGTACAGACTGGCCGCCGAATTAGGCCCTATGCTGGTCCCCAGTATTGGCCCGGATATCAGTCCGGATATCAGTCCGGATATCAGTCCGGATATCAGCCCAGTTATGAGCCCGAGAGCTGGTACGGCTATAGACCTTTCTGGGGAGGATACGGACAGGTGAGGCCCAGACGCTGGGCTCCCCGTATTTGGGGTCCCAGGGTAGTTCTGCCACTCGATGGCAGCACAGTTGCTCCTGTCGCTGCTGTCATAGAACCCGAAGTAGTTGCTGATGTGGTCGCCAACACGGATGCGGATGAAGCAACAGCCGAGTAAGCCTACGTCCTATTGGAAGCCTGGTAAAGCATGGATATATCATAATGTTTTCCATATGGGATCTGGTTCAATAAACAATACCCGAAATTCAGTAAAATGTAGATCTGCTTATTGGGTGCCAGTTTAATTCGGAGTTAAGTCAACTTTTGCATAAACAATAAAATTGTTTATCTTATCGGACAATTTGTATATGCTCTATGCTTGTTGAAATACCAAAAAAAGGTACGTAAACAGTACGCCAGTCACCCATCAAAGTCAATTGCAGAGCTCCCAACCTGCCATATGGCGCAATATTGGAAAATCCAATCAAAATGTTAATTCGACGACATAACAAACGCAAAGCGGCCAGAACGGCGTTATGCTCCCGCTAAAACCTGTTGCCATTGTTATGTAAAGTTCGATGGCCATGTAACCAGCCCCCGAGATGGACGCTTCGTGCTTTTCTTTTCTTTTAAGCACGCCCTGTTGCTCTCGAGGCCGTAAAACGCGTAAAATCCGATGAGAGAATTCGCTCTATGTTTAATGCGCCAATTTTTTGCTTTTAAATCAATTTTATGTAGATGGCAGCCATGCAAATGTGCCTAAGTAAAGCGATGGACGGAATGTGGTTCGCTTCGCATTGAATGGCTAGTCCTTTAGAACTTGGCATAGCACACCTTCGCACTTGCTAATTTATTACACAGGTCAACCAACAATAGAAAGCATTACAATATCCAGCCCAAGCACTGTGAAGTGTCAACGAGAATGAGTCCAAAGTGCTTCTGACCCACCGAGTTTATTCTTCAGTTCTTTGTC